ATGTTTTCTTGTTGACTCAAGTGGGTAGATTTCCTATGTGGATGGGTGGGTGGGAAAATGTCACTGGTTTTAAGTATGATCCCTAGTGGGTGGGGTCATGGATGCGTACTGATGAAGAGCCTTAAATTACACGGACGAAAGAGCTGTTCAATACTCACTAGTTTTTAAATGGACTTGGAAGTTATGAAAAGGATTAGTGTCACCATCACATCGATTTAGATGGCTAGGATACGACATCTTACGCATGCCAAGTCATCGCCTTTATTGACGAAATAATGTTACCTGCTAAAATAAGGTAATATTCAAGTGTTGGTTTGCAGGTATTTCATCATGAGTTGTTATGAACTGGCCACTGGATCGGGTGGGTTCCAGTGGCTTAATGATCTATGAGCTTTCCTTGTAACCGGAAGGTGTACTGGGTGATTGGAACCCTGGTGGTGAGTGCTTACTGCTGTATGGAAGTTCCAAAATAGGTGGACGAAGCAGCCAGCTGTCCAGCACTCTCCAGTGGTTGTTTTCCAATGGTTATCTAACCAATATCAGCTTATGATGAAATCCTGTAAACACACAGTTATTGTCTGTTGCTGAATTCTGCTGATACTACCCATCTGCCAAAGTTGAGGCAGGCTAACATGGATTTAAACATGGAAGCTAATGAAATTACTGTCGTCATCTCCACACATGGCCTTGTGAAAAAGTCACAACATATTGGCATTACGAGTACCATGAATGGCTTCTTACTTATCACTGCTGATGTCAACAGTACGCAGCTGAAGATCCAGACTTGTGATACTATCTGTAGTCACTGAACCAGACTTCAAATGGTCCATGGTATTCAGGTGAAAATGCAGAAGGGTCAAATCAGTAAGATGCAGCATGGAGAGCCCAGAGTCATCTCCGTCATCTGAGGACCAGGCCTAAATAATTCATGATTCATGTAAAACCCCAGAGGTAGCCACGCCACAGATAATAATGATAATTTGCTTTATTCGGAAGCAGTACTTGTGATACAGAGTGGAATTCCCAGCATTTTGTACAACGTTGCATCTAATTTACTGAATAGCAGCAACAAAAACAGAAAAAATATACTTTACAGGGTACACTCAACAGAAATTGATAACGTCCCTCAACCTATCGCATTAACAGAAACACTAGGGTCAAAATGTAAAGTGATAGGAACAATGATAACAATATTAGTATTAGGGACATAAAATTATAAGATGGTGAGTGTCAGGATAGACTTACAAATATGAGAATATAACTAAGCCATTTCTCTTTAGTACTAACTACACAGTAAGTAGTAAGTTTCATGTTTAAAATTATCTTCATCTAATGGAATGCAGGCTGGGGGTTGGGACAAATCGGGTATCGCTGAGTTTTATGCTTGGTAGTGCGAGCGAGAATATAATCTTTTATAGTGATTTCTAGTCCTACCTTGATGAGATGCAAAGGGAGAGTTGAGAATAAAGGGGGTGTTGGGAGTCAGACAGTATGGATTTAGACCATTTCTCACATGAGCTATTGAGAAGTCTGTCGATCATGACAATAGCGAGCTGACTTGGTAGTGGCATAAAACTTACTCCACTGACAACCTTTAATACCCTTCGCAATATTAACGTAACTGTGACTTGCATAAACAATCCTTGATGAGCAGAAAACGCCGGTGGGTACTAATGAAATATGGAGTTGTATTTTGAGAAGTTGCACGCAAGTGTGACAACTGTTATTACTACATTACATGAACAAAACAGTGACAGCATTTTCGTTCTGTTTTTTCCATGTACTAATGTAACCTAATCAGTAGTATCTATCGACTTTAGAGATGATTTCATCACATCGAATGAAGACGTCATTAGTTGTCTGGGTCCTGTTGGGGTTGAATAGTCAGTTAGCTCGCCTTTGTCATCTGAAGACCACGGATTTTAATCCTTGTTAGTTATTCACTACTGGAGAGCTCCAGAGTGGGAAGAAACTTCGGTGTATAGTGTGCTGCCTACTGGTTTTCAGTGATTCTGTTTGTCACTGATGTCATCAGTTCATGACAGGAAATCCACGTAGTGTTTCAAGTGGAATATATAAGGCTTCAACAGCATTTCTCCGTTGTGTCCCCTTCTAAGCAGACCCTTCTCATCTGATTGGTTTCAAGGATGTCAATAGGCTCTCATCTCCTCCTCCTCCTCACTACACCATCTCCTTCATGTCATCCTCAGACCGAAGCCCAACTCATTGTTCCCCACTCGGCTTCAAAGCTGCCGATGGCCTGGCGTGTGAAGTCATTCCATGGTATCCTTTGTGTAAGTGTGTCCGACCGATCACCATTTTCCTCTGGATATTTGTTGAGCAGTAGGGTGTTAATTAGTTTATTCGCATACTTTCTTGCTGCGAATTCTTTCTCGCTAGACATTCGGTTATCTGACCTTCAATAGAGAGCCAGCGAAGGAGACAGCTGTTGATAAAATCCTGCCAAAGTAGGCCTGTTTTAGTGACGTGATGGCCAAATTTATGGCTTATAGAGAGCACTGACTGACTGACTTCACACCTGCGTTGAACAGAATCCGAATCTCCTTCTTTATGCTGGCTGAGTGCAGAAAATCTTCAGACTGATTTCAGACTGACAGCTTCATGCGTTCCGTCGCCTGTAGTTGAAAAGATGCTTCCTAACTGGGTAAGTCAACGGAGAAACCTCTTCCAAATTTCTCCTATCTCTAGCTCATAGTAAGCTACTGCGAATAATAGATACCCTGAAGATGTAGTGTGGGGGAGAAGTCATGGACAGGGTGAGTGAAGTTGGTGCTCATCAAAGGTGGCAATAGTAATGTGTATCACACCTAACTGACAGAAGTTAGAATTCATCAGTGGGTCACTGAATTCCCTCTCAAACAGTCAAGCAACAATCAAGTCAACGATCTTCGCCTCACAACCTAAAGGTCTCAAGTTCGATCTTTGGCTAGGGCGTGGACTTCTGAAGAGGAGTCCCAAATTAGAAACATCTGTGTCCAGTAATCTCTGCTAGTTTTTGATAATCTCGAACTGATGTTATTGGCTCATGACATGGAATCTATACAGTGAAATCAATTCAAATCCCCCACTACTCGACGTCTCCTACTCCAGTTCCACTAGTAGGGGGCCTGCACGTCAGATCATCTCACTCAGCGGTCTCCTTAACGCAGACGACCCATCCACATATGCATTTCCATCAGCGATATTTTGTTGAATCATGGATTATTGGTTGATTTGTTCCCCCATAGAAACCCTTATTGCCTGCTTAATCGTTCAGCAAAGCGGGCGTGTCATATCTGATCTTCAGTATAGAGTCAGCAGGCAGCAGGTATTACTGAAATTTATTAACATATAAAACAGGTTTAAACAAGCTTTTATGGCGAAAGTTTCAACGAATTGGAACACACATGGCCCAAGCGTGTTATATATATATATATATATATATAAATGGATTTATAGGCAGTAGCCAAATCAACTTCTGTCACTTGTCTCTGTGATGTGTTTCGCAAAAGATAGCTAGATAGATTACACCGGGGTGAATTTCATCCATTGATTTTATTTTTTCATGCAGTTACTTTTGAAATGTGTCAGCATCATCCCTTACCTGCACAAATCTATATCTTCTGTCCAATGTGTGTGTGACCACATATGACTGGCTGTTTTCAGCGTAGAACTACCTTGCGCAGAAGTGCAACATTGCTTTGACTTGCCACACTCCATATGTACTATATAAAGGTAGACAAATAAGAGAACAAAACAGACTGGAAAGAACAATAACAAATAAAAATATGTGGGAGAAACAAGAGTAACATGGAAAAACAGGGTTTTAATGGATATAGGAGATCACAAAGAATGAATAAGATTTTGAGCCACATTGCCCACCAATTGCCTCCAGCCGTCATTGGTTCTTAGATGCCTAAGAACCCCAGCCAGACACACAGTCTACATCTGGCTACGTGGCTGGCTGGTTGTCTCAAACGAACTGTCAGAGACTTGATGGAATGGTTCCACCTTCTGGTTTGACCACCAGAAGCTAACTCTTTTCCAACCTGATCCATCCTATGTCAGTGGCTAACATTTCTAGTCGAAGAAGGCGATGGCTAGGCCTAGCCATCTCAGTCGATGCAAATACTTCACAACCTCACCGTGTTTGGCTTTCCCTTCTTAACCAAGATTCTACACCTACTTCCAATATTTCTCACCGTATTATACGCAGACACACATACGATCAGTAACAACTAGACGGCTTTTTCATGTCTTCCACTTTCAGTGACGTCCATGTCTTCCTCACAGCTATAAAGGAGGATGGAGCGAACTACTGTTATTGCCGCTTTTAATGTACAGTACACACATGTCCCTTGATCTCAAGCCAGCCAGTTGCATATCTATAACGCCTACGCCAGAGAGATGGCGTAAGCCAATCATCACATTTGCATATGAATTTCGTTAACACACATAGAGTAGGATGTGATACTATAGTTTGCAGATGATCATTAGTGCCGGCAGATACTCGCCGAAATAATCACGAATTGATCGAAGTTAGAATTCATAGACTGACCATTGAGGCGGGAGGGTCCCAGCCGGTGAATGGTCTACGAGTCTAACTTGCTACCGGAATGTCCTAGGCCTGAACCCCTGTGGCTAATGCATATCGCCGATGAGTCCCAAACTAGGCTGAAGAGGCAGCCGAAGTTCGGTACTTCCTTCCTGCTCCTGGTTTCCAATGGTTTTCTGACCGTGAGTCTTTGTTTAGCTAGTGGTGATATTTTTGGTGATCACTCTTGATGAACGGTGAAAATGAATATATAAGCATTCATTTTGGACAGCTGATTAGATCGTTTTGTGGATCCCTTTGTTTGACACTTCTGTAATGTTTAATATACATTCAGGGGATTTTAAGGATATTCTTCAAAACGTATCTCTTCTGTTGTGTATATACATGCTGAAGACTTCTCAACAAGCACACAGCTAACGCCTCGTTTGTTTTTTAAATTCCCCAGGTTATTTCGAACATGAGAATGCCAATAGGAATAATAATAATAGCATCGCCAGTCGCCATGGCAATAATATCAATACAAATTCTATCAACTCCTTAATATCCGATAATTATCCTGGTGATTTGAATGCCTCATCAATACGACTGAACAAAAAGTTTAGCGGTGACGATAGCATTCCAGAGATACTGACATCTACATCAACGGGTGCGACAAGAACAGATCAACTCATCAGTTCTCCACGTCGTTCATCATCTTCCCTCGCAAGATATCGACATCGAAATGAGGAGAAGACGTCGTCGACTTCCGCTACCGCTCCAACCTCTGCATCAGGGAATCAACGGCTGTCACACTATTCAGTGGAACATTCTGAATACCACTCTGACACTCTACCGCAGTATTATTACATGCCAACTTTATTCAGTTCGGAGAGCAAATCGTCGTCGCTGAGTAAAGAAAGTGGAGGTAGGAAGATATTGGTAAGTTGTCAGAGTTTTTGTAATTTCAAAATTGTATGATGGACTTTTTCCACCATATTTTACAGTCACAATTATTATTAATATTCCCCTAGGGCTTCAATTGCTGGAGCACATCTCGACTTTGTTCTCTGTCTGCTGTTCTCTGTGGATGGCTTGCTAGCCCAAAGATTGCCCATAATCTTTCATCTCCTACCCGGCAAAACAATCTCCTCCGTGTCACCGTTGGACAGATGTTTCCTTTCCATTGAGGATCCACTCCAGCGATAGCCTGGCTGGCGTCCGAAGTTATTCGGCGGTCTCCTAATCAGTCGGTGTCCGATACATATCCATTTCCACTTATATATTTGTTGAGCAATAAGTTCCTTGTTAGTTTGTTCTCATAGTCGCTTGTTGCTAATTCTTTCTCGCTGGCCGTCCATCTGATCTTCAATATGGAGCCAGCAAAGAGGGGTGGATATTGATAAAAGCTTGCCATAGTAGTCACGGTGGCCAGCTTTAGAGAAACACTGACTGACTGACTTCACATTTGTGCCGAACACAATCCGAATCTCCTTCTCTATGTTGAGGTGGAGTGCAGTAAGAAGATTTCCGGAACGATTACAGATTGATGGAGGTCTTTCTCGCCTTTCTGATTCTGGCTAGTTTCGACGTCTAGATCCTTTCCGCTGGATGTATATGAAATGATGCTTCCTAGCCCATTAATTGAAGAAGGTAACCTCTTCCAAATTTCTCCCGTTGATAATGATTGATGCTGGTTGCTATTGTTGGTCGGTTGGTGGATATTTTGGTTATCTTCATCACCTCCGTCTTCGCTATTTTCACCTGCAGTCCTGCCTTCTCTGCCAACACCTTTTACCACTTTGTTGGTTTTCGTCTGCAAGTCTTCGAGTTTGTGTACGACATTAAATAGAAATCATTCACACGCGAAATCCACATCTTATGGACTCTTATTATCGGTCCAGCTTGTTTCTACCTTCTCGCTCCCCACTCACAGTCTTCTGCATAATGCAGTCCACCACAATTAGGAATGTCATCGTGGGTGGTAATAGGCAGCAGCTTCGTCTTACTTCTGTATTCATTTCACAGGCTTCTCTGAGTTTTCCGTTGGTGATCACTCGACACGTGCTATTCTTACATGGTGAGCTGTGACTGAATGAGGTCAATAAATATTTGGGTGCTGCACTACGTAGTGCTGAAGTAGTTTCCGAATAGCTCCGTGATTAAGGCTGTCTGTCGAAGGCCTCTTCAAACTGGTCTATGAAATGGAGGTAGAAGAAAATGTTGACTACCTTTCTAGGCACCCTTTGTTGCATGATGTTGATGCGTAGATTTGGAATATGACCAGAGTATGATTTGACTTTCCTAAATCCAGTCAACTTGTTCTGGGTTGGCGGAGTTCTGCTTCCAGTGCATCGGTTTACTCCCGCCCGGATTATGCACGACTTAGTATTTTACTTGGCGTGGACAAGAGCATTATTCTGCTCCAATCGGTTCTTTCAGAGGCCTAATTCGCCCACCTAACAGATATGCCGAGGGAAATTCAGATGGATAATTTCAATAAATGAGTGGAGAAGACCGCTGATGGGCGTCAAGTGGTGACAGCCAGACCATTGAAGTGGAAGTTGGATGGATGGAAAACAAAGAGTTGGTCGTTGATTCGAGGGTTGTGGAGGTGACATAAAGGAGATCGTGTGCTGAGTGGGAAGTGAGTGAAGACTTCTGAGCAATTGTGCGTGTATCTGTCCTCCCACATACACACACCTCCTACTTTGGCAGACCCTCTTTTGTCAGTCATACAGTTTCTCATTAGAAACAACTCCAGCCAAATAACTTCATCCTGTAGTGGTCTTCCCTTTGCAAATGTTCAGTGTTAATAATGCACAAACACCCACATGTGTGTTGACTTTGTCTTCTGTGAATTCAGTTAATTCAATCGATCGTGGTTTTTTTCAAATCTAAAGGAGCAATAATCTCAAATCAATATTCAATGTCTTCGATATTACTACTTTTTTTAAATTTGAATTTCAAATTTGTTCACTAGACCTAGGTCATTTATATTTGCTGATACATCCTCTCACATTATTCTGTCTTATCCTATCGATAATAACTGGGCTGTTTAAAAGAAAGTTGAAAAAATACAATCAATACGGGGCGAATACTGTACTGACCCATATCGATCGATTCATTTCATTATTAATCAATAAATTTAATTAAATAAGGTCACGCAAAGAATGGTGGATGAATCACTTCATGCGTGGTCTGAACAAAAGACAGAGGACGAAATTTAGATATTCAATAATAATAATAATAGTAATAATGTCACTCCTAATTAAATATCCAATCAATAATTTAAACGATTGGAAAGGGAGAAAGAAAGGGACGTAGGGTCACTAGATATGTGTGCGGGTTTGGGGGGGGGTCGGTGGTTGGGTGGTAGTGGGGGTGGGAGAAGGGATGAATGGGAAAGTGTGAGTATGGGAACAATAAAAACGCGACTACAGGAAGCGATGACACTCTTATTTTTCCTTTAGCAAAGTTCAATTTTCCGTAAACAGGCAGCTGACTCAAGTAAAGCGTTTAGAAAACAGATATCGTGAGACGACGGCATCACTTCGTAGTTTCTCTACAATCGCTTTACGACTAGCAGCGTGGTTGACACTTTTGAGACAAACTGTACAGACAGTGACTCAGATACAGGACTGATCACAGGTTGACATTGATTAGATAGCAATTGGAAACCAGCTTGTGAGCGGGTAGTACTGGACAGCTAGGTGTTTCGTCAGCCTAGTTTGTCACTTCCCTCCAACAGTAAGCATCCACCACAGAAGATCGAACCGACCAGAGCATTCCGGTTACTAGGCGTGCTCATAGACTGTTTAGCCGCTGGGATCCGACTCAGCGGCCAGCAGATGAATTCTAACTTCTACGAATTCATGATTTTATAGCGATAGAAGCAGAACGAAATAGGGTTTTCATGTCAGCTGCATAGAAAATAAACAGTTAATTCAATCGTGTGTTTTTTCTAACAAAGAAATGTGATCACTAATCAATATGCAGTGTCCTCGTTATTACTACACTTTTGAATTTGAATTTGAAATTTATTCACTAGGCCTAGGTCATTTGCTTTCGTTAATTCATCCCTTTTTTTAATATACTGTCTTATCCAATCGATAATAACTGGAATATTTTTAAAAAAAAAAAGCAGAACCAATAGAACCAACAGTGACCCATATCGATGACCGATCCATTCATTATTAATCAATAAATTCAATAAATTTTCTATAGCTGGTTTGTAAGGATTAGTTTTTTTTGGTATTTTCACGAGCCATTGAATCGGGTCCCAGTTGCTGAATGGTATAAGAGCCAGTCTGCCTTGTAACCAGAAGGTCCTGGGTTCGAACCCGGCATTGGGTGCGTACTGCTGATGATTTCCAAACTTGAATCAAACAGCAACTGTCCACTACTCCCTGGTTTTCAATGGTTCTCTAACTAATATCAATCCGTAATCAACTCGTAAAAAAATTCAATCAATTAAATAAGGTCATGAGAACAATGGTGGATGAATCATGTCACAAGTGAAACAGAGGACAAAGGACAAAATTCAAATAATCGATAGCAATAATAATAATAGTAATAATGTCACTCCTAATTAGGTATTCAGTCAATAATTTAAACAAGGTGAGGAGGATGAAGAATGGTTTGGAGAGTCAGTGAACGTGCACATGTGTGTGTAGGTGTGGGTGCGAAGGAGGGTAGACGAGGAGATGAGTGGGAGGGTGTGAATGTGTCATAAAAAATGAAGGTGGGATGTACAGGAAGCGATGATACCTTTGTTTTTTTTTGATGGGCAGAAATATGTATTGCTCGCCTACAGCTACTAATTTTACTACGACTTCCCTAATAAAGTGGGGGTGTATGGTTCGGCGGAGAAATTATGATTGATGGTTTCCTGATAAGCGAGGCAGAGGAGGAAATGATGAGCAGTTGTCCCATGTGTCCAAACCAAGTTCACTTTTAACAGTTTGAAAAAATTTGGGCTTTGGGTGTATGATATTCATTATAATAGAAGTTTTTGTATTTCAAAATAAATGGAAAACAAAACGATGGTGTTGTTTTTACTGACGTTTCGCTATTTAATGCTACTAATAGCTTTATCAAAGTGGTATTATTAAATCAGAATTTACAAAATCCACTCAGCTTATATTTAACAACTTAATCATCGTTCCTCAGTATGGGGTCATTTTTCGTTGTCAAATTGGCCAATATAGAGCGGAGATATCAGACGATATCAGAAGAGTACTCAATGAGTTTGACATTAGAGTTTTCCTCAGAACATCAGAAACACTACGAAACGACCTTGTCCATATAAAAGAGTAAATCCCTAAAGATTCTCTATCTAATTGTGTCTATAAAATAAAATGCTTCGAATGTGATGCGATATACATTGGATAAACATCTCGAGAAATCAAAATCAGAAGAAATGAATATCGTAGAGCCATATGTATTCGACCACCGAGAAATAAATCCTGTTGAACTAGAAAAGCTTGAAAAATCATCAGCCATAGGTCGTCTACACACTATAGAATCAGGCCACAAAATTGATTTTGACAACATTGAAATCATCCAGGAAAATTTCAGAAATCACAAAGAACGTCTCAGATCATCAGAAGTACTTCATTTCAAGTGGAATCCAAATTGTCTGAATAGGAATGATGGACTAAGACAGAATCTGACAACACCCCCTTCCCTACCCCATAAAGTGACGAGATCAAAACGAATGCGATAAGCAACTTCATGATGTAAACACACGCTGTTTTTATAATTTTACACACTTATCAAGTCCAACAGGCATCTACACCTGGTTTTGTTATCTTTACCAGTTGGCCAACTTGACAACGAAAAATGACCCCATACTGAGGAACGATGATTAAGTTGTTAAATATAAGCTGAGATTTTGTAAATTCTGATTTAATAATACCACTTTGATAAAGCTATTAGTA